TTTTATAATTAATAAATTTGTTGGGATTATTAAATTAATATAAAATTTCACATCCATAATTTATATAAATAAAATTTTTAATTTAATGATTAATTTTTTAAATATTAATTAAAAAATAAAATTTTAAATATATTTTCTAAAAAAATTTTGAAAAGATAACCTACAAAAATTTTTTTCCCTATCTATAAATTTCCCTTTTGGGGGAAGAATTCTCCTTACCCCTAATCCGGCACGGCTAGCTAGATTTAGGCCTGTACGGGGTTTGAAGTTTGAACTAATGGCTCCTCACCACTGGTTAGAACGTAATCTTATAATGAGGTGGTTATAATCACGTGAAATTTTGTTAAAGTTATGTAAAATTATTATTGTTGTCATTAAAAATATTAATTTTGTTTGGTTTAGTTGTTGAAAATGGGTGATAGTTGAAGAAATAATTATTATTCATTACTTAACATATTCAAATTTGTCTATAGGATGATATTTTAAAACATTTTAACTAGATGTTCAAAAGCAAAAACTTATAAATAAATAAACTATAAGTGAAAAACCAAATACAAGCATTTTAATTTGTGTAGCCTTAATACAATCTTGTGTGACCAGTATCACACTCATTGTGAATTGCTCTAGCTAGTTTTGGTACTGTTTGGTGTTTTGATTCTTATTTTTTTTTTTGGTACATTGGTGTTTTGATTCTTATTCACTTCAACCTTAAATTTTGTTTGACAACACCTTTTAGTATCTTAATTTTTTGTTTTTATTTCATTTTATTATTATAAAAATATCTAAAATATTAATAAAAATAAATATTGAAAGAACAAAAACCTAATACCTTCAGTTATAGGCTAGCATTTTCAAAGTAAGCCTTGGTTGTGTCGCTTCTTTTGCTCACTATAAATGCGTGATTATAAAGTACTGCATTTTTTTTTTAAATGGTTCGTATGCTTATGATGTTTTAGACAAGTTTATGCACACATCAAGATTATTATTTTTTTGTTGTACTAATTTTAAATTTTGAATTTAAAATTTATCTTACAAGATAACATTTATTTATTTGTGAATTTGACTTTTTAGTTATCATATGTAAGTTATAAATAATAAGAGATGGTTTTTATAATAAAATATAGTAATATACTAAATAAAATAAGTTTTATGTTTTGTAGTTCTCTCTATTTTAGATTATAAAATAGGAATTATACATTAGATGTGACAACAACCTCCAATATCAAAGATCTATAA